CTACGATATTAATGTCTAAATAATGTACTAATTTTGAATCAATTTTCGTAATAAATTAATGAATATAGCTGTAGGTAATTAAGTACAATACCTAAGTGATTTATGAATAACCTGGAATATAAGTAACTAAAATAAAACATCTTAATAAAGACTGCCTTGTTGGCCGAGTGGTCGCAAGTGCGACTGCCTTGCAAAGGGTCTCGGGTTCGATTCCCGGGTCGGGCAAAGTCGCACGGAGTCTGGAATTGTGCCCGGTATATGGCAATAGGCTCACCCCCTATTACATGGGACTCATAACATAAATAGTGAAAAGTGGGTGTTACGTTGTACAGTGGCATAATGTGCACCTCTGCCTACCCCTTCGGGGATAAAAGGCGTGATGTTATGTTATGTTATGCTAATAAAGGTCTATTTGCTTTAATTTAAAAAATACTGAACATGTTTTGATTTAACAACGTAGATTTTAATGAGCCAAAAATTCTTGCCACGTTCTGAAATCTTGTGTTTCATCAAGGAACTCCTGTAGCCTGTAGCCTATGTTTTTCAAGTGGTCCTACCTAGTTTCTCATTAAAGTTTCAACGTGTTACCTGAATATTCATTCCTGTCACCTGTCTGGCTTGTGCCTTGTTGATTTAGGTCGTCATGGCGACAGTGACACCCTGTTAGCTGTACAATGCTTCGTTTGGGAGATTGTGATAATTCATTAATTTATTTATTTAAATAGGTATACCGACAGCTTCTATATATATAGCATTAAGTGATTTGAAAGTAATATTAAGAATTTAGGCTTATACAGTCGCCAATTATAGGTTAACCAACATTTAATTACTTAAGTGATAATAAAAACTATAGATACAAAAATGAAATTCATAATTCGGTTTAGTTAAACTTAATTTACATCATGTAACTTTTTGATTTCCTTTTTATAAATACGTTATCCCATCTTAAGGTTTACTCCTTAGTCGTAGGAGCTTTAAAAACACTTAAGGGTGGGAGAGGCATGCTTCGGCACGAATGGGCCGGCTCCACCGGAATGATACCACGGTCTGATAGAAAACCGACGTGAAACAATTCTCCAACAATCCCAATTCCTAATTCCCAAAAGGCCGCCGGTAACACACTTGTAACGCCTCTAGTGTTCCAGGTGTCCATGGAAGGCGTCGATTGCTTACCATCAGGTGATTCGTCTGCTCGTATATTGACTTATCCCATAATTAATAAATAAAAACAATTAATTTCACATGTAATACAGACAACGCACAACCGACTCTTCTGGGCATGGAAAGCTGAAACTTGGGTTAAAGTGTAGCCTTAGGGGCGCTATGGCGCGAGGACTTAGAAAATTTTTCATCAAAAATGAGAATTCTTATAAGCGGCTGGTTTTTCATTTCTATCTTTTAGTATACCTAAAGATAAGGTGAATATTATCTAGGGCTTCAGGTTCGCCTGAAAAAGAGCCCTAAGGGTCAGTTGGGGGAGTGTGTAAAACACTTTTTGGGCACCCAGACACATTTGGTAAGGTTAGGTTAGAACTGTGACCCTCACAAGGCGCGAGGCGAGCGAGCGTAGCGAGCTGTGCCGCGGCAGCGGCTGCCGAGTGCTGAAAAGCGGTTTCCGCCAACTGACATTTAGAGCTCATTTACAGGCGAACCTGAAGTCCTAGACAAAAGATGTCCAGATGATTTTCTCTCTATTATTAGGTATACTAAGCGATGGAAATGAAACACTAAGTAGTCATTTATAACGAGGCGGCCACAGCCAGAGCGGCGTATGCAGCGGCAGCGAGGGGACGAATTTGTGTTCGCGCGAACTGAACAAACTATTTTGAAAATTTCGCTCCGCATCAAATGGATACCGAAAAACTTATTAGTGAGAAATTGATAGTTAGATTAGATAGTTTGGATAGTTCCTATATTCGTGATAAAGCGTGTGAAATTCGCCAAGGTTTTTCATTTTTTCATTAACTGGGTGCGTTCCAATTTTAGAGTTAATGATATCTTGAGCTAAAAACGCATTAGTCTCAAGACAATATCGTGCCACTTTTGATAGGGCCATTATAAATAATACTGAGTACATCCACCGCTGACGCCGCCGCGGTCGCAACTAGTCGAGCTGTGGCATACCAACGCAAATCGCGTCGCCCGCCGCGCCTCCCGTCGCGCCGCGCGCCGCACCGCTAGAAGCTGTGGCCAGGGCCTAAGAATTTTCATTTTTGATGAAAATTTTTTTAAGTACTAAACTCCTTGCCCCTAAGACGACTCACTGACCGAAACTTGGCATATATATACTTACTCTTTGGGAAGTAACTAAAAAAGATCAACAAGAAAAGATTTCCCTTAAATCCCACACCCACGGGGTTGGGAAAGGCGGGAATTGGGTACTTTTTCGTGCGTAAGACGTCGCTGGCTGAAGCTAGTATTGTGCTTAAATAACATAACATAACGTTACGCATTTTATACCGAAGGGATAGGCAGAGGTACACATTATGCCACTGTACAATGTAACACCCAGTTTTCACTATTTATGTTATGAGTCCCATGTAATAGGGGGTAAGCCCATTGCCATACCTATACCGGGCACAATCCGAGACTCCGTGCTACTACTGAGATTTTTTTTAAAACCCATTAATACTTTGACCGACACGGGAATCGAACTCGAGACCCCTTGCCCGGCAGTCGCACTTGCGACCAGTGAGGCAGTGAGTTTAATTAATATTGCTTCTTTTATTTCCTATCTCCTGTCATTAAAACAGCAGTGGATACCGAAGTTTCTCTCGGTATTCAATCGATGTAGATGTATTCAAATAGTTCGTTATATCCATGGGTGAGTCTGTATACTCAAATGTATCTACTTCTTGCCCGCCTGAGAGTCCAATTATAATTGTTGACCTTAGGTAACCTTTCCTGAACAATTTTTTGTTTCAAAATTAAAGAAAATAATCAAAACTACTAAGCTTGAGGTATAATACTGGTTCCTTGGAACAAAAAATATGATTGTATCATCAGGCAATCCAAGTTAGGCTCCGAAGCAGGTCTATTAGGGGACACGGTGCCCCTGACAGGTGCTGAGGGTGATCAAGGTTCCCTAGTCATTGTCCTCAAAAAGTTAGGCGCCTTTTGAATATTTCCCCCCGTCATAAAAAGAGCACTATGTAGGTAAGTTACGTACCTAAGTCATATTTTCCATGTAAGTAAAGTAAATTGAGTTCGTATACGATACCAGTGCTTAGAATGCAAATTGCCAGTTGTTTTTTAAAAAACGTTGCCGCCGCACTAGGATTTATCTTCTGTGTCGTGGGTGCGTTTATAAACATACAAGTTCACATATAGGTACATGATATCCAGATCCGGAACAATCATGTATGGATCACACAAAGAGTTGCTCTTTGCCAGAATCGAACCCACTACACGTTGCGCGGCAGCCATTTGCCCAGCCACCGCGCCAACCGTGCAGACCAGTGAAGGAAAATAACAAAAAAAAAACCAGCGTCTCTTGTACTGAGAAAATTCCAATAGATAATTAATTCCAGGAATATTCTACTTAACTAAGATAAATATTTAATGAATGAATAAATAATAACTTTCATTAGACATTCCTGAAGATACGATTGACATAATATGTTCCTAGGCTGTAAACAATATTTAATCGACATTTTTTGCTTTTGTTTCATGGAAACAGTTATTTTAATCATGCGTTATTTATTGAAGAAGATTTATTTATTTATAAAAAAAAAACAAACAGTTACAAAAGATATTTATACAACATGTAACTCAAATAACGCACATCCTGAAAATAGTTTGTTCAGAATCGTTAACTGAATCGATTTATATAATTTTTAGTATAGGTAATTTTTTATCCCAAATATAATTAAAACTACGGAAATTATTGTCATATTAACCCTGTATTGTTAAAACAAATCGAAATGGACCGTAAGTCAAAGCAATAAGACTTTTACAATCGCAGTTTTATTTGTATTCATACAAATTCTATCATTCAATACAAAATAAAGAAAAATAAACCTTATGACAAGACTAGTAAGGATGCATATACATGTTAAATTAAAATTTTTGTGTATGTATTATGATTATAACATAATATTGTAATTGGGGTGTTTGAGGGTGTGCGTTAATTACGTTACATGTTGTATATCTGAGGGATCTATTGCATTTTTTTTAAACATGGGCCCACACTCGTCTAGGAATAGAAATTTGGGGATTATTCCGTGTGGGACTCAAAGATATGGAATACGTAGACGAACTATAAGAGGATACTCCAAAGAATAAAACTAATTTTCGATTATAAAAATGTATTTCACTGACATAGGACGTACCTACCTTCCCTACTTATATTCTAAAACTAAATGGCGTTAAGGTTTAGATATAAATTAAAACTAATCAAGTACTTAAATAAAACTAATTTTGCCACATTGTTCGTCGCAAATTACAATCCCGATTGTTCAAAAATCAACCTAAACAACAGTTTGATTCTTAAACCGTTAGACGGACTTTAATGTGACTCACCATAATAGGGCAGTTGCCTAAATTTTCTGGTACATTAAACTGTCAAACACCAAGCGGTCACCGGTGACCGCAACTTATTGTTCTTTAATTGTGTCTATAATGACGGTACTTAAAGAGTTAATTTAAAAAATTAGACACGCATTTTTTCTTTTCTCACAAAATTAAATACTTTCGACGATATATTAATCTGAAATATCGTGTGACGTCACAGCGTGCCATATTTTGTAGCACGTTATGACGTAACGACGTCCCACTTCTAAACATAACTCCATTTTATTTAAGTATTGTAACTTTATACGAGAAAATAAAAAAATACGTGTCTAATATTTTTTCATTATCTAACTGACGGACTAATTCAATTTTTAATTTTCATTCCCTGGCAACTACCCTATTATACATAATTATGTAGATCAAGACTTGGATTCTCACAGAAAGCTTAAGAATTATATCGCTCAGGTCCTATTTGTTGTTTATTTATTTTATAGTCGGCATTCTTCGTATCTTCGGAGCCATTTTCTTCCATTTTCTGACCTGTTCAAGGGAGCTGAACATCCATAGCCACCATTACCATTCACCATCATGTAGTCAAAGCAGTTTGTTACGCCATCTCCATTGCAGTCCTGGAATTAAAGGGTAAGGTAAGAAAATACTGCCCCGTTGGCCGAGTGGTCGCAGGTGCAACTGCCAGGCAAGTGGTCTCAAGTTCGATTCTCGGGTCGGGCAAAGTATTACTGGATTTTTAAAAAACAGCTCAGTACTCTTTTAGTTTTTGCACGGAGCTTGGAATTGTACCCGGTATATGGCAATAGACTCACCGTCCCATATAATATAAGTAAAGATGAGTTTGTTTGTTTGTTTGTTTGTTCCACCTTCACGCCGTAACTACTCAACCGATTGCTTTGAATTTTTGCAGACGTAAAGTTAGAAGTCTGGATTAAATAATAGGGTACTTTTTAACCCGGAAAAAATTGATATTCCCGAGGAAAAACAAAAGTATTGGTATAGATGGCGCTGTGTGTATTGGTATATGTCACATGTCTACTTTTTATTCTTTTGTGACGCGAGCGAAGCCGCGGGTAAAAGCTAGTAACATATATAGTGAAAAGTGGGTGTTACATTGTACAGTGGTATGAAGCACCGTAATATGCACCTCTATGCCTACCCCTTCGGGGATAAAAGGCGTGATGTTATATTATGTTATGTTATGATAAGAAAAGACACTCACTTAAGTTTATATTTTAGTGCGATGATATCTTATGACACAATCTATATTCTATATCTATATCTCCGGCCACCTTAAGCACGGGCCTGCGGACGGCGAGCACGGGTGACTCGCCGTCCGACTAGAACCAGGTCCGAGCGGCGCGTCGCGTACCGCGCGCGCCTCAAAGAGCCATCAGACCACCACGGATTGGGTCCAACAGGGCTAATGCCGATACGGAGCCCCGGAAGACTTAACGGGTTGCCGGGGCTCCGGCTCGAAGTGCTGGAGTAGGAATGGGGTGGTTTTTAGTCAGTGAGAGTCTGACACTCCCGCCTCACCCAGGGGGGAGAAGTCATTGGATGATTTTCCCCCCTCAGAAGAAGAAGGATGTATGAAGGAATTGAAATGGGGTGCGCGTAAAAAGTCGCGGGAATCAGCTGGTAATACTTATATTGTCTTTAAAATAAACACGTTATTCGGATACTATATTTTTTCGGCTTTATTATAAAATACATATTTTAACGAGCAATAATCTTCAGGACTTTTCTTAAAATTAGGTTTATTAAACGACATTTGTACATACCTTCCCGAACTTCTGTAAATAACCCTCTATGATTCTTTTAGCGCAGTGGTAACTTCTCGCACAGTCTGACCAAGCTGAAATATAGAAAAATAATGTTTAGGTACAATATTTTATATCACAGCTGGTTGTTTTTGTTGATTAGAAATGTACTTAGGTAAATATGTAGGCATATGTGTAAAAAGTAGCCTATGTGTTTTTCTAGACTATGTCTGACTTTATCTGTGCTCCTGTATCTATAAATGTTATCCAGATTCGTTCAATATTTTTGTGTGAAAAAATTGGTTGCCTGTAAAGTCGGTATACGGGCGAAAGTTTTACGTGACAACGACATTGAGTGGTAAAATAATTTTAATGTGAATATTCATTCGCGTGCCTTTCACTTTTTATGCCTGTCTCTCTCGCTCTTAGGTGGGCTAACCATGCCCGAGTGGAAGGGACGCGTGCCTCTCACTCGCTCTTATTGTGAGCGCATAACGTGAGCGGAGCGTAACGCAGTTTCTTGAAGTGTCACCCGGCAAACCAATTTATAAGACGTTGTCACGTCAAAAATTAACAATCACAACTAGATAGCTTATCGGTACTGACCGATATAGAAAGAACGATATATGAATCTAATAAGAATAACCCACCATGATTCCTCTCCGGATCATCTGCGGTCAACGTAATATTGCCGGCATCAACCCAGTAGATCCTGGATATGTTAAACGGTCCACAGTAGCCTCCAGTGCACTCATGTGACATGTCGCAATTTGTGGACACGTGGCACAAACATCTGTAGCACCTCTCTGTTAGGTTGGGGATGAAGAGACCTGGAGCGTAAGAAGAAAGTGATTAAAAAACACAGAAGATTGATACGCGGTATTTGTGAATGGTTCAAATAAATAAATGAAAATCACCAATTTCTATAGCTGGGATTCTGGGATAAGGTAGTAGGCAGTTTTTTACAATGTCGGAGTGTGCGTTTATAACCAATAATTTTACATATATAGTACACGTGTTTTTACCCGCGGCTTCGCTCGCGTCACAGATGGATAAAAAGTAGCCTATGTGACATATACCAATACACACAGCGCCATCTATACCAATACTTTTGTTTTCCCTCGGAAATATCAAATTTTTTCGGGATAAAAAGTACCCTATTATTTAATCCGGAGTTCTAACTTTACGTCTGCAAAAAATCAAAGCAATCGGTTGAGTTGTTACGGCGTGAAAGTGGAACAAACAAACATACAAACAAACTCACTTTCCCATTTATAATATTAGTAAGGATGATCTCCAGAGCAAGAACAACAATTTGTGGATGACACAAAGAAGTGGTTTCGTCCACTCAGGAATCGAACCACTACACTATTCGTGCAACTCTTGTAAAATATTGTGTTGTTTCTCGTGTTAGGCAATATCATATCATCTTCATTACTATTCTATTAAAAGTCTTTAATTTTATGTTCCCTAAAATAATAATTTCTTTAGAAGAAGAGTTAATTTCGTTAGTAGTAATTTCTTTTTTAGTAACTAAAACTTTATTATTCTCGTTCATTTTTGTATTTATAGTTTTTATTATTACTTAAGTAATTAAATGTTGGTTAACCTACAATTGGCGACTGTATAATCCTAAATACTAAATGTTACTTTCATATCACTTAATGCTATGTATACAGAAGCTGTCGGTATACCTATTTAAATAAATAAATTAAATTATATTAGATAAGTAAAGATTATTCTTAAACCGGTCTCTAATAATGCTTCTATTTTTATGTGTGTTTTTATTAAGAACTTTTTCTTACCACTGGATCCAGTTATCCAGAACACGAAGACGGCTACTAGGCAAACAGGGACCGCTAACATCGGTTTTATGTGCATCTTTTATTACTTTCTTGTGTTACCTGAAAATAAAAATAACTTATTTTTTATGGAATAGGAGGCAAACGAGCAGACGGATCACCTGATGGTCAGCGATCAGTGCCGCCCATGGACACATGGAACATCAGTGGAGTCACAGGTGCGTCGCCTGCCTTTTAAAAAGCAATACGCTTCTTTATTCAATATGGTAGATGCCTAATTTTTATTTTAATGTCCGTCTGGTAGATTATTTTAAATCTCGTATTTTTTTTTTCTTACAGAAACGAAGACTTTCTGCGATATATTGATTTTAAATGTCGCGTGACGTCATTTCTATGTACCTACAATGGTACATTTTATACGTAGAAATGACGTTTTAGCCCCCACTCCTAAACTTTGATGCGTTTTATCTAAGTATTGTTTTATTATACGACAAAATAAAAATATACGTGTTCAATATTTTTTCATTACCTAACTTACGGACTAATTAGATTTTTACTTTTCATACCCTGTTATCATCCCTATTATAATAATATATTGACAATGACTATTTCATTGTAAATGTTGATCTGCTTGCTACTTGTATGATATTGCGTTAATAAGGTAGCTCTTTCATGTGGCGTGAGGTTTTATTTATTAGTCCAATCAGTATTGCTGTGACAACTTGATTAATGACTTGATTGCGACTGCCGGGCAAGCAGTCTCGGGTTCCATTCCCGGGTCGGGCAAAGTAAAACTGGGTTTTAAAAAAATTCTCAGTAGTAACACGGAGTCTGGAATTGTGTCTGGTATATGGCAACATGGCAGTGAAAAATGGGTGTTACATTGTACAGTGGCATAATGTACACCTCTGCCTACCCCTTCGGATGTTATGTTATTATGTAACACCTAGCAAATATTCTCTCTATAACTCCTAGGTTACTTCATTATCTATCCCGGTTACGCGAGCGGAGCCGCTATCAGAAACTAGTTCCAGATATTTATCTTTTTTCTGTTGTGTGATTGTTACTAAGGTTCAATAATCAAAATGGTTAGACAGACAGGTAGTCTATGCGCAAAGCTAACACCTATTAAGTATCGCGCGAGTGATTCATGCCAAATCTGTATTTGGCTGAGTGCCCAGAGAAGTGGCTGTATCACTGTCTACCATGGTGATGTGATGGTAAACCGCATACTAAACAATACATTTTGAGGTAAATCGAATTTTGTCTATTAAAAGTCATATTTTAATGTGAACACTGGTTATAGTAATTTTACAATAATTGCACCTACTATTGGTAACATAACATTATGCCTTTTATCCCCGAAGGCGTAGGCAGAGGTACACATTACGGCAACCAATGCCACTGTACAATGTAACACCCACTTTTCACTATTATGTTATGAGTCCCATGTAATAGGGGGTGAGCCAATTGCCATATACCGGGTACATTTCTAGACTTCGTGCTACCACTGAGATTTTAAAAAAAACCTAGTAGCTAATATGCTATGCCTGATCCGGGAATTGAATCCGAGACCATACGGCCAATGAGGCAGTCCTACTATTGGATATTGTTATAATCCAATTTTCGACACCTATGTATATACTCTATTGGCCGAATATCAGAAGGAGATATTCAAAGTTTTACGGAATTTAAAATTTATTATCAGTAAGAAAAGCCCTATATAAAACCAATTATCCTTTAACCCTTTACTGAATTTTAGCACAGGTTTTGGCAACAACCTAAATTCGTAATTTCACCAATCATAATCGACTACGTGAATCGACAAATGAGCCAATGAATCGACACTCACATCCCTACTTGTAAAGCTACATCAGTGATGCGTAATGTCGATCTCTGCTTTGACTGCCCACTGTAAGCGAGGACAGGTGAATGACCGACTGGAACACAAATGTGGTTACTATAGTGGACATTGCTTGAATGGTGTATTATAGCTCGAAATCCAGGCCTATTTAGATAGGCATAGCTTCTTAGTATTGATTAATACTGGGGTAACTTCGTACCGCCTCAAAAACAAACATACAAGTTCACATACACATGACACCCAGACCCGAAACAACAATCTGTGGATCACACAAAGAGTTGTTCCGTGCGGGAATCGAATCCGCGACACGTTGCTGGATATCCATAAATAATTAAAACCAAAATTAGCCAAATAGGTCTATCCGATTTTGAGTTTTACCGAGACGTTTAAGTTATTTTCTTTTTCGATCTTTTTGATTGGATTTTAGTTTTACATTGATCTCGCACAATCGAACCAATAAAACGATGTAACTAGTAAATTGTATTGAACCTGATTGAAAAAGAGTAACCTATGAAGTTTCTTGCTCGTTCTTCTCCATAGGAATCTACACGTTGGAATGAGACAAAGCTTCACATTTAAATTTATTTGTTGACGTTCAAAAGTGCCTGGTCTAATTGGATCGGTGATATATCGCTAATGGATCGGTTGAAGTAAATGATTTTGAGTTTTGACTTTCGACTAACTAACATCAATTCACTTTTATCTAATATCTATATACCTAGATAGTGTGGTGTTCCTAAGCTTAATTCGCTCATTGCTCTAGCATGAGAGTTTAAAGTCTAGCTAGTACTTCTTTCTTAATTTATTCGGACACCATTACATACGGTGAAGGAAAACATCGTGTGGAAACCTAAAGATAATGATTGTCTCCTTGACAAAAACTCAGTTTTGTTTTAGAGTCACGTGAAGCATGATGTGATATTATAGCCTAGCTTCACTGACAGACGGACGGACAATTAAATTTTTGACATTTCATTATATATTTCGAGATCGAGATTACTAATTAAAGATTAATTAGAAAGAAAGAAAGAAAGAAAGAAATAGCATTTATTTGGCAAATGGCACACAAACAAAGATTATGAAAAATAAAAATAACAGATACTTACATAAATACACAATATTAATAACAAAAAAGAACAAAAATCATCAAAATGTAACAAAATAATGTACATACAATACGAAACAATACAATAAGTTTTTGATATAAAGAAAATTAAATATACAAAAATTAAAATAAATGCTTCGACTTTGACTTTGAGTCTATTATTATATGATTATTATAATGGACATTTTGATTTAAAAAAATGGTTCTATTTTTTCCCTTTAATAGCATCTATAATGAATCACCACCACGTAGTAGGGTGACCTTACCACTTAATAAAGGTCCAGAAGCAAAATTCTCACCTAAACACACATTTGTACACTATTCGTGGAATAACGACCAGAGACAGAGACTAACTAGATCAATTACCACAGAGTAGCTAATAGGACATCGTGTAGTTGCAGTCACTTAATTGCAGATTATCTGGGAACTGCTCATTGAAATAAATGGCATCCATTGGTTTTTAAAGGAGGTATATTGATTTCTTACTATTCTATATTTTGCAGTTTTCTTTGTACCTATATTTTTAAGAAAATATATTATTATAGTTTTGGGTGTGGGCACAAGTGCAATTTGTGTTAACTTAATTTAAAAATGTTGGTCACTAATTACTGTATTTTAAGCCTTCTTCATAGCGATAAAGAAGGCTTAAAATCCCCTCTGGAATATCAGTAACCTTTCTGTGTTTGCCATTTTCTACTCTTGTTATGTTTATTTGAGAATACTGCTGTTCTATCTGTGAATCAAAGACATTGACAAGCCAAAATCATTTATTTAAATTAAATTTTATTTTCAATTATCATCATCATCATCATCACAACATCACATCTTTTATCCCCGAAGGGGTAAAGGGGAAGGGAAGGCAGAGATTTTTTTTAATTTTTGTAACCTCAGTAAATCTTTGCACGACCCGGGAATCGAACCCGAGACCCCTTGCTCGGTAGTCGCACTTGCGACCACTTGGCCAACGAGGCAGTCAAAGGAGGATATTAATTTAGACAAAAAATCAAGGATTAGGTATGAACCTCCGTTTTCCTTCTCAAGGGGTTTTAAACTGTCATAAAATTGTAATTAATGGTCGTTAGCATCTACAGTGCAGGTATACAAATATATAATACTCATATATATATCGAGGGGTAACGGGCTATTTGGTTTAAGCGACATTTTTGCAACTTTACAGGAGAGCCTTTTAAAGTTTGAAATTTCGAAAAAAAATTCGTAACAAAAACGCTTCTGCAGTTATTTGAACGGGGTAAATTGCATTGAAATTTAAATTAAATTATCTAGTTGCTGATGCTAATTCTAAATAAAACGGACCTTTAATTACAAAGATAAATGTCGCTTAATACAATCTGCCCTTTTTTAGAGTCAGGAAAAACGATTTAAGTGAATTCATAACTACAATTGGCTACAAGGGAAAAAAATTAAGCGACAATGCACTCTATTTACAGAGTAAGCTAAAAAATATGAAGTGACGAAACCCAAAATTAATAGAAGCAAGCTATTTATCTTAACTACCAATTTAGACTAAAATGACTGACAGGCTAATTTACTTATGTGACATATACCATTGAAATTATAACGTTTAATGTTTATGTTTATTTACATCTAAGGCGATTAATGGCTGATAAAACAACCTGGATATATCGCAATCACCGAAAATCTCATTGAATAAATAAACACAACGCAAAATCAAAGTATTTATTTAGAGTAATAATTACAGTTTCAATAGGAATATCGATTATTAATGGGGTCATTTACTGAAATTGCCGTTTTGTATGAAAAAATTTAAACGATTTTTTCATGTATTTTTTATTAGTACTTATAATCAACGTAATCACCCATGCAATCATCGTTGCCAACGCAGTGACAGTTTATTGATGCCCTTCTTTAATCAGCTGGACGGGTAGCAACAAATTCTTCAAATGCATTTTGTACTGCCTCTCGGTTATAAAATTTTTTCCCGTCAAGAAGTTATCCAAATTCTGGAAAAAGAAGTAGTCTGGTAACTGGTGAATAAGGTGGATGTCGGAGAGCTTCCAACCCCAGTTCTTGTAACGTGGAGGCCGTCTGTTGTGCAGCTTTAGGTCGCGCGTTGTAATGCAGGAGCAAT